ATAAGTCCATCACAAGTCCCTGCAAGTCCCTGTAAGTCCATGACAAGTCCCTGCAAGTCCCTGTAAGTCCATCACAAGTCCCTGCAAGTCCCTGCAAGTCCATCACAAGTCATTCAGTCTTAAGCCCATTAACAAGCTTTTCATATGAGCTTGACAAATGCATTCTTGTGAAGGGACTTGCTACTGGATTTGTGAAGGGAATTGTAAAAGGACTTGTGATGGGCTCGAATACAACACTGGTTGAAAATACGGTGTCCAACACCATAGCAATCAAACGTTGGTTTTGCTAAATCTCTTCTAAAAATTCTATTCATGATTTGTCTTCTTGTGAGAGATTAATTTGGAGTCAAAGACAGAAATGAAATCAACAATCTTAGGAAATGGATACTAATGATCAGGTCTCTGACTACGCTGCTGCCACAAGTTTACTTTGGTAAGAGCAGTAGTGGATAAAAGATTGGGTCCAAATGATAAAAAAATTACTAACAATCCAAGGTACACAGCTGACTTCACTGATGTACAAATTGACAAGTGGGAAATGCAATTGACGCTCAGCGTTGTTGTCAAGCCCACCATAACACCAGTCAGACGTAGCTGGTGAACAATAATTAAGGAATGCTTTTATCAAAGTTCCTTCTGACAGCTTGTGATTTGACTGAAGACTAGATAACCTGTGATAGCCTCGTGAGAACTCAACTGTAGTACAGCAGTAAAATACAGATTTAGTCTCATCTTGCAGCCAACAATCATTCTTAAAAACGTGAAGCACAATCTTTTAGGAAATGAAAGTATCCAAGGTACAATGCCACCATTTTCATTGGTACCTTTCACCTTACCACTGATTGCACGTTCCTGAGCCTCAGTAAGGCTGATACTGGATGAAAGCGACGTTGTCTCTGCATCCATACCATACACAGCACTGTCCGAGAAACTATGAGCAGCTATCTCATTAACACTACGGTGCATTGGGGAACCAAGCTGACCTGAAGAAGTAATGATAGACATTCAACAACAGAAATATCAAGTAATGACATTCATAAAATAATGAACGGTGCAAGCCAGGGGTAAATAATGAAGGGAAGAACCTCAGACAGATTATGAATAAAGTACAAAGCGAGAAATATAAAAGCAAATCCTGAAAGGAAGACCAACCGGATGGGGTACTGCCTCCTTGTGTTTCAAACTGTAGTAGTTCTTCCGGATCCAGACTAGGTGTTGTGAAATTCTCTGCTGACACAGATGAGTTAACTATTAACCTTGTACCCAGGTTGCTAGGACGTGGCTCCCTACTGGAACCAGTGTCACTGTGATCAGCAGGATTGAGGTTGTTTAAGGCAAGTGATCCAGGAAATGGGATGTCTTGAGGGTTGGAGGTGCTAGGCTGCTGGTCTGACTGTAAGAGTAGAGACGCACAATGAGATATACTGAGGTTACATACAAACATGACCTAATAATTGACTAGTCAAACCAAAAATACCACAGATGAGCTTGCAAACTGCACTTAACTTTTGCCTTCAAATGAATCAATGCAAACTTAAAAACCCAAAACAAAAAATGAAACTCTTCTTTCATGAACCATTCTAGACCATGCTAACATTCTAACAGAAAAGTCACTTAGAACTACCAAGAAGTTCTCATATCGCAAGTACAAAATAAAACTCATGACCAGCAAGTCTAATATTCCGACCTGTGATTGCCCTTGCAACCTCTCTGTCTCTTTCTCTTGCATGAGTCGTTGTTGTTCCTTGAGTGCTTCAACTCGTTTCTCAGCTTCTTCTCTTTCCTGATCTTTCTTCTGTGCTTCTAACACCTGTCGTTGCTGTTCCTCTGTCAGTACCATCTCCAGACGTCTCATATCCATCATTTGAAGACGTTGCGATTCTAAGAACTGATTGTTGGCCATGTGCCAAGTCTGCTTCAGATTGTTGTGTTCTTGCTTTTCCTTTTCAAGAAGATGACAAACTGAGGTGGAGAAAAGGAGGGAAAAAGTTGCAAACAGAGTTTGATTACTTTACAAGATGTTACAATGAGCAAATGACTGAAAGTAGCTGAGGTACTGAGAGGTTTTGCAAGAACTGCTGGTTGATATGCTCCAATTACGCCAAAGTCTGAATTGAATATTTTCATTGTATTCTTTTTTGTTTTGTACAAACACTGACTCTCATTTTGTTTGAATGATTTAAATATTGTAGTAAGTTCCACCTTGGTGTAGCATATCAAAAGGGTCTAGAGATCTTGGTTGCATCTGTCATCCCCGTACTCATTCCTTTCTGATCCATATCTCAAGATGTATTTTTGCGTTGGGAAGATGTTAATTATATATAATGGTTTGCCCGTACCCAACGTATATTAATAAGCACTGTATGCTCAGTGCTTGTCCGAGAACTTGCGAAAAAACATCACAAGCTTACTCGGGTGGGACTCGAACCCATTAATTATATATAACGGTTTGCCCGTACCCAACGTATATTAATAAGCACTGTATGCTCAGTGCTTGTCCGAGAACTTGCGAAAAAACATCACAAGCTTACTCGGGTGGGACTCGAACCCACGGGCAAACCGTTATATATAATTAACATCTTC